GGAAATAATTTAAGAAAAATATTTAGCCTGAAATTTAGGATGAAAAATGGAAGAGATGAAATTACCAAGAAGTTGTAGGAGACAACACTAAATGAGCTTGTTAACAAAGCTGACCTCAACCTAGGCTAATACCAGTTTATGGGGTAAAAGATGAGTTTGCAGGATCTACCCTTTCATTATTATTATTAGAGTAAAAGAAATACATCGTAAGTTGACATTTCAAGACCCCTTGAACACCTCTTGACTCTGAAAATAACTTGCGATCTAGTTTCAATAATGCCAGCAGGTGGCGTGTTTGTTAGCTTTATTTTTTCAAGCTCCGAAAAATTTGAGAAGCAGTGTGAACATGTGAAAATAAGAAATGCTCTTTTTTCATTCTTTGTATTTCGCTTCTCTCGGGAAAAATAGTTTGTAAGAATACAAATAAAATAAACTCTGTTTTTCTACTTTTCCACCATACTGAGAGCTTGAATTTTGTATTAAATTGCTACCTGCTTTCACTTTGTCTATAGTAAAATATATCTGATTAAAATCCCAAGCCATTGCCAGTCTTCCCATTGTGAAATGTCTCAAGATGTGGTCAAGAGCCAAACTCCCGGGAATCAGAAAGCCAGGTGCATCTTCACAGTGTGCTAAAAAACAATGTGTTATGGCTTGTGTGCTGAGATTTTATGTTGCTTTCAGTGCCACTGAAAATTTCCCAGATAGGACCGAAGTTTCAACTTAGCCTGGAACAGTCTCTACACTCACCCTTGTCTAGCTCCCCAAAGAATGTCCAGGGCTGAGGAAAGTCTGGTGCTCTGCCTCTCTTGGGGTAAGCCCTAAGCAGACAGTTTACTGATGTGAAATCTCTGCTGAAGGACACAAATCGACCTCTTGTTAGTACTCTAGATGCGAGTGTCCTCAGAATCTTTAAAAGAATCCGGAGGTCTCTGAGAGGAAGTTAAGTGAAAATCCCCATCCCCTACCCCTTTGGGTTTGGGACTGATTTGCTCTAAATGGAGATGAAAAATGACCCCACGTATTTTGTTGTGTTAGCATGCTCCAAGTTGGAGGAGGGGGACACAGGTCATTTAGTTTCTGACAAAGAGATACCAAATCGTCAGTGCCCATTACAAATTCATTCAACAAAGAAAGTATTCATAGTTGACTTTATTGTGAGAAATATTTCAGACATGGTAGTGCTTGTTTCTAATTTAATCAAAATGCTAATTCTTTTTCCCCCACTGAATCAACCTCTTTTATTACTATTTCTGGAAACTTTTATTCTGTAATATATCAGACTTCTTGCAAATAGAAGTTGTTTAACTTCATAGAACAATTTGAGAATAATAACTTCCATAAGGCTTTTCAATCAAACATGAAAGAATGTCTTTTTTCTTTTATAGCTTTCTTGTTTACAATACCCATCACAAAATTTCAAGAAATTCATAGTACTATGAAAAGGAAAATAGAGATTACCTATAATTCCACCAGATTTTTCTTCTTTTTTTTTTTTTTGGCTGCACTGCACGGCTTGTAGGATCTTAGTTCCCTGACCAGGGATTGAACCCAGGCCACAGCAGTGAAAGCACCAAGTCCTAACCACTGGACCACCAGGGAATTCCCTCTTCCAGACTTTTAAATATGCATCATATACTTTTTAAAAAAAATCAGTTAATTAATTATTTATTTTTGGCTGCATTGGGTCTTCGTCGTTGCACGCGGGCTTTCTCTAGTTGTAGTGTGCAGGGGCTACTCTTCCTTGCCCTGCGTGGGCTTCTCATTGCAGTGGCTTCTCTTGTTGCGGAGCACGGGCTCTAGGCACGTGGGCTTCAGTAGTTGTGGCATGAGGGCTCAGTAGATGTGGCTTGTGAGCTTAGCTGCTCTGTGCAATCTTCCCGGACCAGGGCTCCAACCCGTGTCCCCTGCATTGGCAGGTGGATTCTTAATCACTGCACCACCAGGGAAGTCCCACATACTTTTTTTTGTGTGTGTGTGTGGTACACGGGCCTCTCACTGTTGTGGCCTCTCCCGTTGCGGAGCACAGGCTCCGGACGCGCAGGCTCAGCGGCCACGGCTCACCGGCCCAGCCGCTCCGCAGTATGTGGGATCTTCCCGGACCGGGGCACGAACCCGCATCCCCTGCATCCGCAGGCGAACTCTCAATCACTGCGCCACCAGGGAAGCCCCCACATACGTTTTTTAAGTGAAATAGTTTGATGAGTTTTTTAAACATTCTCTTTCACTTAATAATATATTGTGGACATCTTTGCATATTAATAAATATAATTATAACCACATTTCTTTAAAAAAATATGGAGGAGGAAGCAATATTTATAGTCTTTAGGGATTTTCTTTAAATTTAGAAATAACATTCATAAAGTGTATAACGTTTCATGTATATCTCAATAAATGTTTACATATGTAAATGTCTTTGCTTGGGCTGCCATAACAAAGTACCATACTGAGTGGCTTAAACAACAGAAATTTATTTGTCACAGTTTTGGATGTTGGAAAGATCAAGGTGCTGGCAAGGTAGGTTTCATTCTGAGGCCTCTTCTCTTGGCTTGTAGGTGGCTGTTATCTTGCTGTGTGCTCACCCCCTGACCTCTTTTCACTTGTTGAGGGAAAGAAGGGGCAGAAAGAGACTACACAAGCTCTCTGGTCTCTTCCTGTAAGGGCACTAGTCCTATCAGATTAGGGTTCCCTCTATATGGCCTCATTTAACCTTAATCACCTTAAAGGCCCTATTTCCAGTGGGGTCATACTGGGGGTTAGCTTCAACATACTGAATTTGGGAGGGATTAGTCCATGGCACTAAAGCTTATTTTTTAAGAAGGAAGTTTTATATATACATCAAAATAAAGAATTAAAAGATTTTGTTGGATAATTTAGGAGAATGATTTATGTGGGTACTTTGGTATTCGTGAGAGCAAAGATTTTTGTCTTTTCTGTTCATTGCTGAAGTCTCATGTCTAGAATAGTGATTAACACATAACTGGTGCTCAGTGTTTACTGCATGAAAGACTGAATGTTTTCTTTTCTTTTTTCTGGAGGAGGGAGGCAGTATCAGAGCTTAGGAGCCATAGATCATTAAGACAGATTGTCTTCATTGAATCTCAGCTCTATCACTTACTAGTTCTTTTACCTTGGACAAGTTACTTAAACTCTCTGTGCCTCAGTTTTCTCTTCTGCAAAATGGGTATTTTAGGGTTGTTGTAAAGATTAAATTAATAAATAGGCTTAAGCCATTTAGAGTAGTATCTAATATGTAGTTGGTATAAGTAGATACCTTGAAATAGGCAATACATGTTAGATATTTATATTTATGCCTAATTCTCCTTTTTATATATGTGGTCATAAACTAAGAAAATATCTTGTGAAGTTGGTAATGTGGAATTCTTGTTGCCTCTGCTTTTCAGGAAGAAATACTAAGGCACAGAGGTCAAATGACTTGTAAATGTGATCACGAATGTAAATGTGTATCCTACTTGAATATTCAAAGTAAGGCAATATATTTGCATTTTCCTGGAATTGTTTATTATTTAGGATTTTTAATGCTTTAGTTAATTGATGGTTTACAAGCTACAAACTTAAATTGAGCCCCCAAATTGTGTTTATGTATACAACAGCTATAAATTCACTAAGTTGTGGCTATATATAGTCTCTCATATTTTGGATCCTCCTTATGATTTAAAAAAATACAACTTTATAGTCTCAATTAGTCATTAGGTATCTTCTCAGGCAATGGAAGCTGAAAGTACAAGTATTAACATGCAGAATCCTGAAAATTTTTGAATGATGAAAAGGGATCCTCATTTAAAAAAATCAGGAATCTCTCCTCTAGTGGTTCTATATACAAGAAAATTCTTGTATATCTTGATCTCTTAATCAGAACTGTAGAGAATCTCCCTTTTGGGCTTGCCTGAAACTGTGAAAACCAAAGCTCCACCTTTGGCCTAGGGGGTTGGAGGCTGGGCGTTCGTCCGAAATAAACTACAACTCCCAAGATTCCCAGGTGGGGAGCTCTTGGGAGTTGTGGTTCGTTGAACACTGTGGCACCAATGCCCCTGCACCTCCCTTCCCCCTTCCATCGCAACCTCCACCGTGGGCTCAGAATCCGGATGAGTAAGTCGCCTGGTCATCTCCCTCGTGGGAATTTTTCTCGCTTCTCCATTTTTCTCTTTTGTTTCCTCTGTTAGCTTATTGTTAGGCACACGCAAGGACTACTCTTCTGGAGAAGAGTCGAGACGGAAGAGGCGGGATCAAGCTCTAAACCGGAAGGGGTGAACCCGGCAGTGAAAGTGATCCGGTGACTGTCGGGCTGAAAAGTAGTGGACCACAGAAGGTTCAGACCTCCGTAAGGAAACCTAACGTCCTTTCTGTCTTTTTTTTTTTTTTTTTTTTTTTTTTTTTTTTTAACGTGCTCACAGTTCACTTCTCTTTTCTGGTCTTAAAAGTCTGTTTTCCTTCTCCAGCTTTTTTTTTTTTTTTTCCCATGGTGTCTCCCTATGGGATCACTCCGTATACCGAGTTAGTGTGTCTTACACGTGATGCTCTTGTGCCGGCTTAGTGTCACTTCTGACTTGCCAAGACTGAGAGTTGTTCCTAGAGTATCATTTTATTTTTAATTTTTATTTATTTTATTTATTTATTTTTGGCTGCGTTGGGTCTTCGTTGCTTCGCACGGGCTTTCTCTCGTTGCAGCGAGCGGGGGCTACTCTTCGTTGCGGTGCGCGGGCTTCTCATTGCGGTGGCTTCTCTCGTGGCAGATCACGGCTCCAGGCGCGCAGGCTTCAGTAGTTGTGGCATGAGGGCTCAGCAGTTGTGGCTCACGGGCCCTAGAGCGCAGGCTCAGCAGTTGTGGCACAGGCTTAGTTTATCCGTGGCATGTGGGATCTTCCCGGACCAGGGCTTGAATCCATGTTCCCTGCCTTGGCATGCGGACTCTTAAACGACTGCGTCACCAGGAAAGCCCCTAGAGTATCATTTTAATCCTGTTACTGTGGGGGGGTGATGGAGAAGGCTTGGTATTCGCAGGTATAGATAAACCTAGAAGGTAAACGTCTTGGGATTTGCTTAACGTTGAGGTTCATGACCTTGAGAGTTACTTTTTCTACTATTTCTAAAATGGAAATTTAGCTAGAGGTGTTGTGACAAAAATCTTTTTGCCAATTTTTTTGTTATGTCCCTTTTCAAATGGACACACTTTTCTGTGACTAGATGTTGTTATAGACCAGGGTTCTTGGCCTCCTTAATCAATAGATATTGATCAGAGGCCAGACAAGAAATTCAGGCAAGGCTGTATTGTGGCCCCTGCTGCAGCAGAGGGGAGTGAGCAGGTTCCTTACATGGGGTGAGGGTAGGGTTGTGTCCAGGGATCCAGCAGAGGGGTGGCTTAAGTGGTCTGCCCATCCCCTTGGCTGCGTTGTGTGCAGGGGGCATGCACAGTACCCTGCTTTTGCTCCCCACCCCCTGCTTTTGCTGCCAGCTCTTCAGAGGTGCCACTTGGGCTTTTTGGTCTCCTTTTATCTAGTTGTCTAGAATTTGCCCCAACTGCTGCATGCACACAGTTATTTTTAGCCCCTATTCGTTTCTTTGTATTTTGTTGCTTGAGGAAACATTTGTCCAGGTGCAAGCATTGCAGCACTGCAGCAAAGGGTCCCAGGTCCCAGCTTGTCTCAATGGGAAGACACGCAGTAACTCCTGCTGGAGGACTGTAACATTTGTGGCTACTGTGCCTTTGTGCATGCTTCCCGCAGTCCTTTTCTCAATGTGATTCAGTATGTTAAATTTCCTTAGTACAACCCTGCAAACTGTGAATATTTTAGAGACTATTCTGAATATTTTATTTCCTAGGAGATAACAATATCCAAGTTAGCAGACTTACAATGATCAAATGAGCTAATATATGAATATACCTAACTTAGTAGGAACACGAGACAATAAAGGTTGATTCTGATCAATTTTGACCCTTATTTCAACTTTGAACCTCAGGATTTTAGGGGCAAAGTATTTTTCTTAGAACACTTTATCTTCTCTTTCTTACTCAGTAAAACCATTGTGTACATTTGTTAGCTCTTTTGATTATCTCCGTTAGAAGGAAGAACAGATAATTATTGTACATAACTAATTTCACCTTACATGTAATTTTTTAAAGTAATTTTTCTTTCTGATTGTAAAAGTAGTATGTGCTAAATGTATAGGAAACTTGGAAAACACGAAGAAGTAGGAAAAAAAAGGAAGCAAAAGGAATCCATAATCCCACAACTAGAGATCATCTTACTAACGTTTTGGTATGTTTTTAGTTTTCTTTTTTCAAAATAAAGCTCTTCCTCAACTTATGATGCAGTTATGTCCCCATAAACCCATGTAGTCCATATACTGTAGACAAATTTGAAAACCTAATTGAGATTATATTGTTTTGATTCTGCTTTTTTCATTTAATATAATTATCATCATTGTCTTTTTTTTTTTTACCAAACTTGCTACTTTCTTAGTCTGTTAATATATAAATTTTCCGTCCTTTAGGATCTCAGCTAAAAGGGAAGCCCCTTCGAAGAATGATTGCATAGTTGGGAATGAAAAGCACTGAAGTCTGAACAGGCAAGCTGCATTCACCTCAGCTCTGCCTCTATCTGGCAGAATGAATAATCATGATTAAGTTACTTGACTTCCTTGGGCATCTGGATACCTAAGAATTAGACAAGGAAGTGGTGTTTCCTTCAAACTTTAAAGATCTGTTAATATATGAACCACCTAAAGTTTGCATGATTATTTCATACTTGTCAAGAGCTTATTCACACACTCAATTTTAGATTCTGGGTACTTTCTAGAAAATAGCTGATTTAACATATTCTATTGATATATTTATTAGTTACACTCCTACTCATTTGCCTTAGTTAATTATATATGTTGAATGGGTAGAAAACAGCACTACCTTCATTTATTTTGTTATATTCACAGATTTGAAGATTCGTTTTCTTTTTGTGGGTTATTGAATTTAGGGACTGTATTTGGAGCTGGCTGAGGCAGTGAACTGAGCAAGATTTCTTGAGGCTCCTTCAGCTTTTATATCTGTGGAGCTGATATTTCTCAGACTGTGTTTATTTTGTTTCAGATGCTGAAATGAATCGTCACCTGTTTGTTTGGCTTTTTAGACATCCGTGTCTTAATAATGGTCACCACCAGTGCCATGTCCATCTCCATTCTCATCAACTTACACAGATACCTCTTGACACAAGGCTGTGGGTTTTTAGACAAAACAGGAATCACATTCTCCATTGTCTGTTAAGTGAGAATTGGTCCAGGAGATATTGTCATCAAGATACCAGGATGCTCTGGAAGCATAAAGCACTACAGAAATATATGGAGGACCTGAGTAAGGAGTACCGAACACTTGATCATTGTTTGCAGCATACCTCTGTGAGTGAAAGGGACCGGAGGTCCTTGAATCAACGGCATGCTGAGCTGGCACCGCTTGCAGTCATTTACAAAGAAATTCAGGAGGCTGAACAAGCCATTGAAGAATTAGAATCAATGTGTAAAAGTAGGTAAAAGATGTGTGTGTACAAGTACAGAATTGATTTTCTAAGTTAAAGGTATATTGAACACAGTCTTTTAAAAAGCCTGCACATAGTAAGCCCTGCACTTGGAAAGGACAGGACTCTGTACTCTGGGTGTTTGAAGTATTTCAGCTACTAAAGAGCAACTACTAAGAGACCGAGGTCCTTGTGGTACTTGCCAAGAAGCACTTAGGGTCTGGGAGACTAAATATTGACCTTTTCAGAAGCTTTAATTTATTAATAGATCTTTATTGGGCACTGTCCTATGCGCTACATACCAGGGACACAAAAATACAATTCCTACCCCATCAGAGGGCTTATATGGTATGGGTATCATTTCATCACCCCAAAAAGAAACACTGCATCCTTTAGCCATCTCATGCCAATCCCCCCCATCCCTGCCAGCCCTAGACAACCACTAATCTACTTTCTGTCTCTATACAGTTACTTATTTCAGGCATTTTATATAAATGGAATCATACAATATGTTACCCTATGTGACTGGCTTCTTTCACTTAGCATATGTTTAAGGTTCATTTATGTTGTAGCATGTTTCTGTACTTCATTTCTTTTTATTGCTGAATTATGTCCCATTGTATAGATATACCACATTTTATTTATCCATTCATCAGTTGTTGGTTATTGAGTTTTTCCACTTTTTTGGTTATGAACAATGCTGTTATGAACATTTGTGTACAAGTTTTTGTGTAGACATATATTGCTAAGTTGTGTGGTAACTCCATGTTTAACCTTTTGAGGAACTGCCAGACTGGTTTTCCAAAGTGGCTGAACCATTTTACATTCCATCCTCAGTATATGAGCGTTCTGGTGTTTCTACATCCTCTCCAACCCTTGTGATCCGCCCTTTCGATTCTAGCCTTCCTAGTGTGTGTGAAGTGGTATCTTACCGTGGTTTTGACTTGCATTTCCCTGATTAATGGTGTTGAGTGTCTTTTTATGTGCCTGTTGGCTGTTGTATATCACCTTTGGTTAAATGACTGTTTAGATCCTTTGCCCATTTTTTAATTGAGTTGTCTTTTTATTTTTGAGTTGTAAGAGTTCTCTATATTACAGATACTAGTTCCTTATCAGATATATTATTTGCAAAAATTTTCTCCCATTCTGTGGGTTGTCCCTTGAAGCACCACAGTTTTTAATTTTGATGATGTTCAGTTTATCTTTTTTTTTCTCTTGTTTGTGTTTTGGTGACATATCTAAGAAATTATTGCATAATCCAAGGTCACAAAGGTTCACACCTGAGTTTTCTTCCAAGGGTTTTTTATTTTTAGTCCTTATATTTAGGTCATTGATCTATTTGAGTTAATTTTATATATAATGTGAGAGGTGTTAATTTTTAATTTTAGTATCTCTTAATATTTTATTGCCTTAACATTTTTTCTTTTATGAAAAATTTCCAAAATATACAGAAGTTGAGAGAAAAGTATAATGGACTAACCTGGGATTCAACATTTATCCAAATTTTTTTTTTTAAAAGGACATGAGCCCTCTTTTTTTTTTTTAATATTTATTTATTTATTTATTTGGTTGCACTGGGGCTTAGTTGTAGCATGCAAACTCTTAGTTGCGGCATGCATGTGGGATCTAGTTCCCTGACCAGGGATCGAACCCGGGCCCCCTGCATTGGGAGCATGGAGTCCTATCCACTGCGCCACCAGGGAAGTCCCAATCCAAATTTTGCTATTGGCTTTTATTGCATTTTATTTTTAATATTTATTTATTTATTTATTTGGCTGCACCGGGTCTTAGTTGCAGCACACTGCATCTTCAGTTGCAGCATGCGGGATCTAGTTTCATGACCAGTGATGGAACCCAGGCCCCCTGCATTGGGAGCACAGAGTCTTAACCACTGGACCACCAGGAAAGTCCCTTGCTATTGGCTTTTAGTTTAATTTATAAACTTTCTTTTGTGCTCCATCCTGTTTCATTAAGCCTTAGAGATGTTAAGCAGCTTTGAGGCCAGTCACAGGTATACCTGTAAAGTCCTGGATGTCCAAAGCCTTACCTTTTTCTGCCTTCTATTAGTGGTCTGTGAGTCTCTCACTTTCTTTTTGGCCATGAGGCATGCGGGATCTTAGTTCCCTGACCAGAGATCGAACATGTGCCCCCTGCAGTGGAATTGCAGAGTCCTAACCACTGGACCGCCAGGGAATTCCCTCTCACCTCTTTTAATGAGGATTATTTTTTACTCTTTCGCATAATGCCACTCAAATTTGTAATTAATTAGTTTGGGAAAGTTGCTTGCACATAATAGGAGCTTACTAAATGCTTTCCAAATTAAATTGACATAACCTCTTTCAGCCACGTTTGTATCATGTGTAATATTAGTAGATTGGATTAAAGTATTAGTAGATTGCTTCTAAAGTTTCTTCTACAATTCTGCTATTTTATAATAATAGTGATAATAGCTACGTTTACTAAGTCTTAGTATGTGCCAGGCACTAAGGTAAGTATTTTGCAAATATCTCATTTGAAATGTTCACAGTGACCTTATAAGGTAGGAATTATTATTAATATTCTCACTTTATAGATGAAGAAACTGAGAGGTTAAAATGCCAAAGGTCACTTAGCCAGTCAGGAGAGGAGCAGGAATTTGAACCCAATCAAGGAGACTCCACAGCCTCTGCTCTTATCCACTGCACGATGATTCAAAGTCCAATAGGGTCTACCTCTGTAATGTATCTTGCATGAGTCCTCTTCTGTTCTTTCCACTGGTTTATATTTTCATTATATCTCAGTCCTAGATGATTACAATAAATTCCTAACTTGTAGTCTCACCTCCAAGCTTTCCCAGCCTAAGTACAACCTTAATCATATTTCTCTCCTGCTCTGAATTTCCAGTAACTCCCATTGCCTATAAATATAGATTGCTTGGCTTGGCATTTAATAGTCTCTGCCGAGTGACCACCACCTCTCTGTGTAGTATATTAATTCCCTTTGTGTATTCTCCCTTCCAACCAAAACAGACAATCTGCCATTCCCTGAATATACTCAGACCATCCCATGTCTATGTCTTTGCTCATGTTGTTAACCCACCAATTTTACCTTCTTAAAGTTCAGTCTGCTTACAAAGTATGGCTTGAATATCATCCTTTGGCTTCACTCCCCTCTGTAAAACAAGTATGATTGCCTTTCTCTGTTTTATATTCTGATCCATTATGTAATTGTCTTAACTTCAGTCCCTTTCCCTGTTCCTCAAGTACAGGGCCTGTGTCTTATTCATCTTTATTTCCTGTAGCACCAAACATAAGGTATAATAGCCTCTTGAATCTTTTGATACAGTGAAATTGAACTAGATTGGATCTTACAGTTCAGTAAATAATAAAAAGCCACAAAAATAATTTTATATGACTGCAGATCAGCAGGTTTTTCTGGTACCTCTGACCCGAGACTTATGTGCACAAGGTGAGGCCAGTAGCGATATTACAATTCTGCAACAGGTGATCCATAATTAGAATTGAGTTCAGATGGCACCTTATCTAGGAACCTTCCTTAAGGGTTGAAGTCTGGGTTAGACCACCCTTTAAGGCCTCGATGGCGCTTCCCACACCACATATTGTAATCAAGTGAATGTGTCCACCTTTCCCACCAGACTGAGCCACTTTAGCCCTGAACCATGTTTTATTCATCCTTGTGTCCCCAGCAACTGGCAGAGTATTTAGCACCAAGTAAGTGTGAAATGTTGAAAGCAGGAAT